GCAACAAACAGTAGAGTCTTGCACAAACAGCGCTAGATATAGCATCTGATCCTCCTGGAGAAACTGCTGCCTGGCAAACCAGAAAAGGTCAACCAAGAAGTCAAAAATGGGACTGATGTTTGACCGTCAATCTCTAATTCAAGGTCCTAAATGGGAACTGAAAAGAACTGAAGCACATGCAAGAAATATTGACATAAATTAGGACTCCTCAACCTGGAAAAAGATGATGAAATGGGTATATGATGGTCCTAAATACAGCACACAGTATCTGAAAGATGAAACCATAACTGAAGGCCAAAAGCGTCCAGAAGTTACTAGAATCTCACCAGATTCTTTGAAAAAAATGGAAGAAATTTGATTCTGAGGGAAGTCAATTTTTTTTTCTTGTAAAATGGTTAATTGCTACAACAAGCATAACAGTTCATGAGAAGGGAAAGCAATAACAACATTCTCCCTGTTAAGTCCTGTCTCACCTTGGCTTCTTTTTCTACACTTCAATTTGGAAACATTGCTGAAGTCCCAATTTAGAAGAAACATGGCACTGCTGCTGGTAGTCAAAGTTGCTAGCACCCTTACGATGAGGTGACTGGGGGAGCATCAAGGCTCACCAGTGCGTCCTCTCCCCCTTCCTTAGTCTCCCATAGCAGCTAGAGCCACAGTACCCCAAGACTTTGCAGTGTAGCACTGAATACAAGTTTCAATTTGCTCAGGTCGTGCAGTAATTATGATCTGGAATTTCACTGGAACGCCCTTCCTATGAAATGGAAGATTAACTTCTTGTAACTGGGAACATCACATTTCTTTCAACATATAAACTGCTGGAAACAAAGCGTAACACAACCTCTAATTATTAACATCTCTATCAGTGTTCACACACTCATTTAGACCAATATTGGCTGGAACGAAACTATTCAGCACGCTGTTTGTTTTGCCTTAAAGCACCTTTCACTCAATTTTGGCCATATCCTTAGAAATTAGGAATGCAGTTTGTTGCAATGTAATTAAGCCTGTAAAAATAGCTTGGCAGCATAGCTTTTATATTTCTTGGGGAGCATCGGGTAGAATTGATGATGTCATGCAGTAACAACGGAGAGACTGTTATGCAGATCCATACAAGAGAGGAAAATAATAGGGAGAGTGGAAGCAGGAGAAGGAAACAGGGAGGAAAAAAAAAATCAAAGACTTTCATTAACTTAATAATTAGAATTTAACTAAGCTTGCCAACACTATTTGCTTTATGCAGCTACCTGCAGGAGATGAAAGTAGGCCAAGCACTGATGGCTTGCGAGGAATTTTGAGTTGCCAGAAGGACTTGCTCTTACCTACCGTTCCTGTGACCCACATTACTCACTCCTCACCACAGCAGGGTTGGGAAACTCCTCTCTTTTGGTTTACTCTGAAGAATTCTGCACTGTACTTTTTGCTAGGCTAAAGATAAAGGGCATCATACACACCATCACGACCCAGGTCAGAGCCAGGATGCAGTCTCCTTTAATGCAACAGGCTAAGGAGGAAGAAAGAATCAGCAAGTGGCAGCACCCCCTGAACCTTGTGCCTAGTTAGCCAGATATAAGCTAAATGGAGGTTTCACAGCAGTCAACTATAAACGTTCAGGTATGCTGGAACGGTAAGAAGAGCCTTTGAGCAAGATGTTGAGGATGGGTTGCTAGAGGAGTAAAGTTGACTCTGTGACCCACAGTCAACAGCTCTCAGACAAACGCTCTAGAAATCCAGTTTGAGCAAGATCTCACTTTTAGTCACAGCTTTGACAAAGCTTATCTGGAAAGGTGCTAGATTCTGTCTTTACGTGTCTATGGTTCCCCTGGCATTAATGGGAAACAATTACATGAGTCTGGAGGCAGAATGCAGCCCAATATCCCTCCTAGCAGAAGAGTTCCCAAAACAGAGTTAGAATCATATAGGATTCTAACATATTTCCAAAACCTGCAACACACTGCACTGCACTGACATACCTAGGATGTGAATGCATCAATATAAACTCTCCACGTAACCTCTATGAAAACAGCATTTGTAATTTTATACTCTTTCTGTTAAACACAGTCATTATGGAGCAGATATTGTTTATACATGGATTTACTTGGGTATTAAAACTATAAGCTGGAACACTGGCCATGAGAACGACTGCAGGGTTGAACTCCAGCAGGTAAGTCAATCACTGGTGTTAGAACAGGAGCGTTATCAACTCAGAACTGAAGCATTTAACACACCAATATTTTGCTGCTCATTTAACTATGCAATAAAGAGTTAAAAAAAATCAAGAGGAACCTAACTCCCACAGAGGAGAAAACACCAACTGCCTGACAAACAGGTAACAGGAAAAAGAAGCCTGGTAGAGTCATTTCATAATCATCTGAAAAAGGGAAGGTATTTTAATTGCTGATCTCAGATCATCCTTTCCAAGGATTACTCAGTGTTTCTCA